ATATATATATATATGTTATTTTATATATTAGATATTAATAAATTAAGCATTATTTAGTTAAAATTTTAAATTGATTTTTAAAAAATAAATATAAAAAATACCTTGGTGGTAACTGTTTCGCACACATAATTAATGAGCACAAATTTAAAAACGTTGTGGCAAAACCAGATTAAGTTAACGAAGATAAGTATAATTTTAGATATTATATAACTGTTGATAAAGATTTCGCAGAGAATTCTACGTAAATCAAGTATTATCCAACCAAAATAGCATATCATTTTAATAGTCATTTGTATTCCAAACACTGAATTCATTTCATGGGATATTTTGCGCAATTCTAAGTGTAGATGTCTGTATGTGCATATGTAAATACGAAGTTTTATATATTTCATGTATATACAAATTATAAATATTATTTTTCTGTGATTTTGACATTTTATGATTCTGCAATATAATTTATATATAAAACATCTTACATAACGATCCACGTTATGCACTTATTGCTTAGTGATTTCGAAAATCTGTATTGGTGAAAATTTATCATAGAATTTTCCCAAGCTCGTTTTATTTCATGTTTATTATTTTTCATTAAGTTATAAAGATGTTTATTAACTTGATCAAATTTTAACCCTGTGTATCTAAATATAAATAAAATATATTATTTGTAAATAGTTGCTATATTGTATAGAAATTTTTAAAAATACTTTAGTAATTATAAAATTTTATGTATTATAATATTCAGAAATAACAAAGCTTAAGGTAAGAACATAACGGTATATACGTAAAAAAAAGGATATACTAACTCCAGAATACTTGCAGTAGTCAAATCATCGATAAAATTAATATGAAAGCAGTAGTTTCGAATAAAGATATAGAACATGGTTGTTGCAAAATTATGGTTATATCTATCTTTCGTATATAACGTTGTACTGCAAACCGTTAATATAATCATTATAAACCATCCTAAGATAAACCATATTGTTTTTTTGTATAGTTTATCATAGTCTGTCATTATTCCTAATTTATGCAAAGTATTGTCGACAATATCGAGTTTCTTCAGACAGTTTTGGAATTTCTATCAGGAAGATAAAATAATTATTACATACTGTTGAATGTACTAACTTATGCTTGAGGACAGAGTTGTTCAGAAATTTATTTTTATAAAAAAAGAAGCGTAGCTGCGTCTGTCATTTTTGCTGTCAGTAACAGTGTGACAATTAACTCGTTATTCAACGATTTCACTCAGAAAAAATAAAATGTGGTAATATCATTGAACATATATATTTAATAGTATATATTTTATAATTCAAGAAAATATAAAGATTTTTAATTCTATTTTTCCTTTATACAAATTTTTTATATAATTTAAATTAATTATTTTAATAGATATTTATAAAA